GTGATAAACAATGTATACAAACTTTGTTAAGTAAGCCAGTATAAAATAAAAATTTTATTTTAAAAAATGTTTAAACAGTATCCCTTCTCTTCCCCCTACCAAAATGTGTTTTAAATCCTTACTTCTGTCTCTGTGCAAAATCCCATCTGGGAATTGGTTGTCTTTGTGATGTTAGTGACAGGACTGTAGTTGTTGCTGTGTACTGTAGAGTTGGAGCCAACCCATAGCTGACCCTCCGGCAGGTTTTTAGAGGCAGTTAATTGCACAGGAGGAGCTTGTCCACCCTTCTCCCTCAGTAACAGGACTACTAGGTGTGTCTTAATCTCTTTTGAGGTATAAAACAGAAAGGTGAGAAAGAAGAGTCGAGTATATCCAGACTGCCCAGGAGCAGCTCAGAGACAAGGATAATCTCTTCATAGGCTGTAAATTACTCGAGAGGAGAGTCCCTATCTTTCTCCCAGGGAGCAGCTGGTGGATTTGAACTGCTTGCCTTTGGCTTGGCAGTACAACTTCCTTACCAAGTAGGTCACCAGCGCCCCCTAAGGTTGTGATACCCAAACTGAGTAACTAAGGAACATCCTACAAATGCGTGTATAGAACTTAAAGGAAATCCTTCAGATTGCCCTGTAGAGAAAGCTTTCTGGTCCACGCCATATTTAAACTATAGTTCCCACTTGGGTCCTCTCACTCCATTTGTCACTCAAAGGGCTAATTTCCATAGTCTTTGCAATCACTTGCTATGTGTCAGAGCGCTGGACAATGACCAGAGATGATAGAAGGAAAATTGATGCCTTTGAGCTGTGGTACTGGAGAAGGGTATTGAATATACCATAGACGGCTAGAACAAACAGGTTCATCCTAGAAAGAGTAAGACGAGGCTGCTCCTTGGAGGCACAGATTCTGAAGCTTCATCTGACATATTTTGGACATTCTGCAAGGAGGGAACAGTCCTCGGAGAGGGACGTCACGCTTGGGAGGGTGGAGGGTCAGCACAAGAGAGGAAGATCCTGGATGAGATGGATTGATTCAGTGACTGGGATAATGAGGGTAGGTGTGTCAGAGACAATAAGAATGGCACAGGATAGAGCAGGGTTAAAGGCTGCTGAACATAGGGTTGTAGGTGACTCAAAGGCACGTAACAATAGGGCTAATTGCAACTATACATGGCCTTACTCCAAATACTTTGAATTAAACTATAGCATCTTAATCCTCCACTTTTAACAATGAGAGACCTGCGCCTCCAAGGTAAGCCTTGCTGAGGTTCCCAAGGGCCTTAGCAGCACAGCACCCCTGGAGTTCAGTCAAGTCTTGATTAGAACTCAGGTGAAGGCCGTCTTCTGTGCCTGACCCAGCTTTGTGAATTCAGGAGATTGGCAGCATCATGATTGCTAACAGCTTTTGTTTGCTTGGTTCCATAATCAATACTCTTGGTATAAGTAGCCAGGAAATCGAGACGACTTGCATTGGGAAAGTCAACTGTCAAGGACCTCTCCAGAGTACTGAAAAGCAACAATGTCAGTATGGAGATTAAGGTGCACCTGATCCAAGCCATAGTCTTCACAATTGCTTGCTATGCATCAGAGAGCTGGACAATGACTAGGCATGACAGAAAGAGAATTGATGCCTTCGAGCTGTGGTGCTGGAGAAGCATGTTGAATATACCATGGACTGCTAGGAAAACAAACAGGTTCGTCCTAGAGATAGTTAAGTCAGCCTGCTCCTTGGAGACAATTCTGAGGCTTCGTCTGACATACTCTGGGCATGTTGCTATGAGGGACTGGTCCTTCATGCTTGGAAGGGTGACGGGATGGGGAAGGAGAGGGAGATCATAGAGATCGATTGATACAGTGACTGGGGTATTGAGAGGAGGTGTGTCAGAGTAAAGCTGGCCAGGATAGAGCAGGTTTCAGGACTGTTGTACATAAGGTCGCTGAGTCACAAGCAACTCAATGGCACATAACACCAACAAAACAACAGCACGACCTCTGTACCTCAGTTTCCTCATCTATAAAATCAAAACTCAAAACTGTTGCTGTTGATTCCAACTCAGTGGCACAAAGACTGCAGAGCTGTACTTCCTGGGTGGGGCCCAGGGCTGTAAATCTTTACACCAAGTCAAAGCCCGCTGCCAGCTGCCATTCTATTAACTCTAACTCACAGGGGCCCTCCCACTGATTTCTGAGGCTGTAAATCTTCATGGGAAATGAATGTCCACCTTTGCCCCATGCAGCAGCTGCCGTTAGATTTGAACTGCCGACTATTCTCTTTGCAGCACATCACGTTATCCACGACACCATGGAAACTTGATCATCTATAAACCCACTTGTTGCCATCAGGTCTTAGAACCCTCCCATTTGGGCTTCCAGGGCTGTAAACAGCATGGCAGACTTGGCAGACTATCTTTACTCCCTCAGTGTGGCTGATGGGTTTGAACAGCCATTTGGGTTAGCAGAGCGCCATACGGACCACACCCTTTCAGGGCTCCCTATAAATTGGGGGTTGGGAATTGAAAATGTGAGTGCTGTAGCAGCTGCGAAGGGCATTTCAAATGGAAGATTTCTATATCGACATGTTTATCCAAGCCAAGTGTGTTAGTTACATAAAGCTTGGAGCTTTGGAATACCTGACCTACTAATTGAAGTGGAACTCAGTAACCATTTTAGCTTCAAATTAGGTCAGATCTCGGCACGGGTTTCTGAAGCATCCCTCTTCAGAATGAGGAAAATAGGTTACACTTCTGTGCTGGAAAGTTGTGTGCTGTTACCAGGAAGTTCAAAGACTGGCTCGTGACCTTTCTCACCTGTTGGCACAAAGCTTTATAGATAAAGAGAGCATTTAAATACCTTTTGTTACTGAACCAACCCATGTGAGCAGGCATGCATGTTCAGTCCTGAGCCCTCACCGGAGGTGGTAAAAATTGAGGCTGGAGACATCACCCAATCACTAGTGATGTTCCTGAAAGGACCCCAGGTGGAGAGGCCAGTAGGGGAAGGTGGATTAAAGCAGTGCTATGGTGTCAGAATTGACTGGTAGCTGACCCTCCAGTGGGTTTTAAAAGGCTGTCGATCCAGGAGACTGCCTGTATTTCTCCCATGGAGCTGATAGTGGATTTGAACCACCAGAGGCAACACCTTTTGCTTAGAGACTTAACTCCCTACTACGTCACCAGAGCTCCTGTTTAAGGGATTAGGCCTCCCCCACCCCAAACTCAGTTTGAAGCTTGCTTTCCGGGTTAAAACAAAACAATCCAGAGCTTTAAAATTAATCACTGCAGATTATTTTGGAAATCCTGGTGTGTCCTTCAGCTTCTGAATAGAAAGAGCACTGAGAAAATCGGACCCAGCTTACTATGTGCCCATCAGCTAAGGCTATCTTTTAAAAGGGGGGCAGAGGGCTAGCAGACATGAAAATTCAGTATTTACTTTCAGTGTTAACCATCAACCATCACTCCAATAGGGTGGGGTTGAACAACACCCTCCCAAGTTAAACATACATTCCACAAGCTTTCATAGGTGCCATATGGCAGGAGATGGCATTCTGGTCTGGTAGGCGGTATACAGACATCATTTACCCCGCATGGATGGTGGATGAGAGATGCTAAATTAGGGGTGGTTGTTTTGATGAGCTGTCGATCACAAGTGAGTCACAGGTCACTCTCCCGTCGATTTTCAGAGGCTGTTAAGTTGCAAAGGGGGAGAATGGTCCAGCTTTCTCCCAGGGAGTGGCTTGTGGATTCGAACTGCGTGCGTTTAGGGTTGGATGTACAACTCCTTACCCATTAGGCTCCAAAGCTCCCTTAAGTTAGGTGAGGATTTCCATAAGCTGGTAAAAATTGTCTTATCCTAAGGTCTTATTTGTGGCTAACACAACATGTAATAAGACGACTTGGAAAAGTCACTGCCATTGGGTCAGGGCGGGTTTCCAAGGCTAAAATCCCATAAGACGGCCCCTTGTTCTCCCTCAGAGCTGCTTGTTGGTGGAACTGAACTTCCAAAAAAAAGGTACAAATTATGGATAAGGACTAGGCGACCAGAGTTCCTCCAACAGAACTGGATGGCAGGGAAATTGTGATACCACACTGTTTGAGCCTCAAACCAGGATTCAAAATGGGTTAGCTGAGCAAAGAGACCCACAGAGAGGACAATCAAGACCAAAGACAGGAGATGATATTCCCCAAAGCAGCATTTATTTTTACCCACTGAACTCCAAAACATTTAATTTAGAAGTCTGGCATTTCATAATCACCCATCTTGATTGATATGGGCTGACACACGTGGCGGCTGTCAGGGTACACAAGGACAATAGCTAACGAATTAAAAAAAGGAAATAAAAATAAAATAAAATCCATGATTCTTAAACAATCACAACTGGAAAATAAGAAGTTACAAGTATCAAAACTTCAGATGCATTGCATTGAAAAGGTCTGTGCACATCATAATTTAAAGAGGCCAAAAAAACAAGGTGCTACTGAAACTTCACTGGAACAGTTTATTACAAAGCTGATGGGAAGGAGCAGAGTTCTCTTTGTATCAGCTGCCCTGAACAGTTCTCCATGAGCTGAAGAAAGAGGTGGGGCTCGGGGTGGGGGCAAGAGAGGTGAGTTCATTGTTGCATGCACAAAGATGTACTGCTTTAAACAAAACACTACCAGCTTGTTTTAAATGGACCCTTTAACTATTCGTTACAGCCTGTGGCGGCTAATTCACCTTTCTGAACTTTCCCACTGCCTTTGCCTGGATGCTCCTGATAGATCAATAGGCACTGTGAAATGCCTCGTTCAGAATGCGCTTGCCCATCAATGCCCATGAAGAGATTGATCTGAAACCGCTCCCCGAGGGACAGGAGAGCAGGTCTGAATAGTAGCTGTGCTGCCGATCGGTACAGATGGGTTTAGCACTAGATAATTTCGTGACTGTGGCGAGAAGGACTCGGTGATGAAGGGGGGGGGAGGCGGGCAGTGGGTGAAGAAAGAGCCAGGGACTCGAGGAGGGGGGGGGTCTTCAGTTGCCTTCTCCTGCTTCTTCATCCTTCTGGTCGCTCGTCCAGAGGGTGAGGTTGTCTCGCAGCAGCTGCATGATGAGCGTGGAGTCCTCATAGGAACCCTCGTTTAGTGTGTCCAGCTCTGCTGTGGGGTCATCGAAGGCCTGTTTGGCGAGGAAGCAGGCCGTTGCCTTCTCCTGCTTCTTCATCCTGCTGGTCGCTCGTCCAGAGGGTGAGGTTGTCTCGCAGCAGCTGCATGATGAGCGTGGAGTCCTTATAGGAATCCTCGTTTAGTGTGTCCAGCTCCGCTGTGGGGTCATCGAAGGCCTGTTTGGCGAGGAGGCAGGCCTGCTCGGGGGCGTTCTGGATCTCGTAGTAGAACACAGAGAAGTTGAGGGCCAGGCCCAGGCGGATGGGGTGCGTGGGCTGCATGTGCTCCTTGCTGATTTCAAAGGCTTCCTTGTAAGCCGCCTCCGAAGCCTCCACCACGCTGTTCTTCTTCTCGCCGGAAGCCACCTCGGCCAGGTAGCGGTAGTAATCGCCTTTCATCTTCAGGTAGAACACCTTGCTCTCGTACTGGAAATCGTTGCAGTTCTTGATGAGGAACTTGTCCAGCAGGGCCAGGACGTCGTTGCACACCGTCTCCAGCTCCTTCTCAATCTTCTCCCGGTAAGCCTTGACCTTCTCCAGCTTCTTCTCGTTGCCGTCGGCCATGGTTTTCTGCTCGATGCTGCTGATGACCCGCCAGGAAGACCGCCGGGCCCCAACCACGTTCTTGTAGGCCACGGAGAGGAGGTTCCGATCTTCGTTGGAGAGAGGTTCATCGAGCTCTGTCACCTGTGAACCCCCCCCAAAAAACCAAAAAAATAAAACACAAAACATTGAGAGGCAAGTCTGTAAATATTGGAAAGAAACCTACCGTAATTTAACCCAAGTGGCAAATCCATCTTAAAAACAAAATTAGGAGGGAGCTCTGTTGGCCTAGTGGCAAGAAGCTGTACGGCAATGCCAAAGGCAAGCAGTTTGAATCCACCAGATGTGCCACTGGCGGAGGGGCAATCTCCTCCTGTGCCAGTTGGATTCGACTTGACAGTACAAAAGTAAGAGAGAGAAAAAAAAAAGCGAGGGAGAGAGAAAAAGAGAGGAAGGGAGAAAGGGGGAGAAAGAAAGGAAGGGGGGGGAAGAAAATAAATTAGGATAAGGGCACTTTGGAGAATAACTACCTGAATATGAATCCTATCCCAAGACTATAGTCCAACAAAAGAGAAAAAATAACACTGAAAACAGGAGGTGATAAGGGCCTTGAGACGGTCATAATTCAGGACTTTGAAGAGGCTGCCTTCATCCTGGTAGAAGATTGAGGAGGACAATTGCAGATTATCAAGGTTCACCATAGAAAGGTTGTGAGGTGGTGGTACCCACAAAGAGAAGGGAGGAAAAACTGACAAGGCTCTTTCTCAAAAGATAGCCTGAACAAGAAAATCATGCCATTCCTTTGTTGAATGTGCAAAAGACAACAGCCTGGAAGCCCTTTCCCGTTTTCTAGTCAGGAGCACCATCCACACTTCCCATTAGTTATTAGCAGATGACAAGAGTGTCAGAGGTGAAATCAAACACACGTGACTTGGTGCTTGCATGGCCAGAGCGCTGTTCTGTGGAACATCATCAAACTCCCAGCCAAACAAAACTGAGGAATGCATTAGTGACAACAAAGCACACTTGGCCTCAGCTGAAGGAATTATACCCTGCCCGGCCACAAGAGTGCAGTGAAGCCTCCTGAGCTGTAACTTCTCTGTGAGACTTTGCCAACACTAAGTAAAAAAAGTACTAGACTGGACATGAAGAAATCTGGGCCTGCGCCTCAGCAAAGCCACTTATTGCCTAAACTGACAGGCAGCATTTCACAAGTTCACAAATGAGACTTGTATCATCTATAAACGGAACATTTCTTGATTACATGATCATGGCCATGTTGCAAGGAGGGACCAGTCCTTTTAGGGGGACGTCAAACTTGGGAGGGTGGAGTTGACAGTGCAAGAGAAAAGACCCTCGATGAGATGGATTGATTCAGTGACTGGGGTAATGGGGGTAGGTGTGTCAGAGACAGTGAGATCTGGACAGAACAAAGCAGGTTTAGGGCTGTTGTATATAGAGTCACTGTGAGTCGGTGACTCGACAGCAAATAACAACAAGAACGTGATCATTACAGCATCAACATCACTGATTCAAGCCAACAAACAAAACTGTAAAAACAAAGAATGTTAACACTTCTAAGCACCATATCAAGTTTTACTTAAGCTATAAGGCTAGAAACACTTCCAATAGAGGGGGAAAGTGGGATGGAGAACTGTATTAACAGCACAAAGACATGCATAAATATGGAGTGCGAAGAAAGAACAGAACGACAAATTTTAAATAAAAAGATAGGTGTTCACTGGGGGCTCAGTAGGCCGCGAACAGAGGTCACAAATGTCATCATAATTGGATGTAAAAAGTTAGAAAGTGGATGCCAAGTTCTTCAAAAGTAAAGGAAGCAGCTGTTTACAAGCACTACCCTTTGCCACCTCAACTTCCAACAAAAGAAAAATATGCTCTCTCCCCTTCCCACAATCCATTTTTTTAGCCCAGGTCCATCATGCTCTTGCTGCGAGCAAATCCTTCACCCCAGTTCTCCAGCTCTCCTATCAACCCAATCCCCTTCTTCTTCAGTGTGGTCTCTGGTCACAAGTCACCCCAAAAGGGCTGCTTTCAACCTGGTTCCTTATTCTTCCTCACACAGTCTAGACCTCCAGACCTCTCTCTCGCTGTGATGTGCCTCAGTGGGGAACAATCTTCTTTTTAATTTAAACTCAAAACCCACACGCAGCAGCCAGTGCAAGCAAGTATCTTTCAATACCCGTACCTACTGGGAAAACAGACTTCAAGATACCTGATAGCATCCCCACCTCTAACTTCTCAAATCCTCTACAATGACTCAATTTTCTGAGGTTAATGACTAAACATGAGGCACCAACAGGACCTGGACTTGCTTGTTTATTCAGTAAAACTGATCAGCAAGGCCTCCCCTCCGTATTTCAAGTAGGGAGGTCCATCCCTTTTGGGGATCTAACTTTCTAATAAATCTGTATTTTACTATTTTATCCTCAAAAAGAAAAAATATTGATAGGAAAAACTCCAACAGATATTTTTGTGAGGAAAAAAAGGAGGACCTGGAGCGCTCCTCACATCCTGCAGTAACTGAATCCAAGTAAGGCCATGTGACATTAAAACTGCAATGACACCCATCAGGAAGTCAACGTATACTTTACCCTCTGACTAAGAAATCTGCTTTTGTCAGATTTGCAAAGACACAACAAGGGAATGTTCCAGAATGTCATTAAAATTGCAAGTGTAGATTTGAAAGATATCAGAGTCATATAGAATGTGCTTGTGGAAGGTCCAGTTTCATTACTCAGAGAATGTGTATAACCTGAGAAAACTGGGTGACCTTGAATAAATTACAACTTTCTGGGTATCTAAGGTTCACCAGTGTGGAGCTCTGTGCTTAAAGCACTCAGCTGCTAACCAGAGGGTCAGTAGTTCCAATCAGCACAGCCTCCAAACGGGAGACTTTCAACATGCCAGTTACTGCCATAAAGACTGTTGTTATGGACCATTGAGTCACAACAGACTCACAGCTGACCCTCCAGTGGGTTTTCAGAGGCAATAAATCATTCACACGGAGGAGACTGCTCATTTTTCTCCTACAAAGCAGAGGGTGGATTCAAACCGTGTGCCTTTGGGTTGGCAGTGTTACTCCTTACCATGAAGCCACAGGAACGCTTTCCATTAAGACTACAGCCTTGGAAACTCTTTAGAGTCGCTCTGCGAGCCTATTAGATGCGCTCAATGGCACACAAGACCCAGTAAAACAAAATCAATCATCATATGGCCTCTAAGGCCACCCTCAGATCCAAAATTCTATGGTTCCATTTTACTTCAGCTCTAATAAAAGGTGCAGTAAAGCAAGAGGTTGACATTACCAACTTAAATCAAATGTGGGTGTGTCTGTGGGTTTCAGGAATTCTTGGCGTTTATCCTTTCTTCATCAAGAACAAACTGCCCACAACGGCCAGGAGCAATATTTATAATAACACCTTCATCAGAAGAAGGGAAAAAAGTTTACTAGGAATATTAGTGTTTACACAGCAATCATCTGGTTGCCTGCCAGTCTCAATGAATCACTCTGCAGCATCAGCTGAGGGTGACTAACAAGCAGACGCGGCTCTCAGAACCCTGGCCAGGGCCTAATTAGGACATTACTAGATCCATTTAAAATAAAGGCATTTTTTAATACTCCTGGGTTACAACTCAATTAACATGGAAACTTGTGGTGGAATAAAGTCATTTATTACTTAATCAGGCAACTCAAAAAAACTTGGAGCCATCTCCAGTATGGAAAATTACAGACCTCAGTGAAATCAGATGGTCTGCAGGAACAGGAGAGATTCTCACCTGCCTGAATTGATGGTATTGGTGGAGAAGCCCTGGCTCTCAACATGTCAAATACTAAAATAAGGGGGGATTCAGACAGCAGGGCCAAGAGGACTAGAGACAATGTCCTATATTGCCACTGTTAGTTGTAATGTATTGTCGAGTCAGAACCGCCTCAAAGCTGACCCTCCAGCAGGTTTTCCAGAGGCTGTAAAATGCACGGGAGGAAACTGTCCACTTTTCTCCCATGGAGCGGCTTGTAGATTCAAACCACTTGCCTCTGGGTTGACAGTGCAACTCCTTATCATGAAGCCAGCAGAGTTCCTTGTCCTATAAATGAGATAGGACATGTCCTATAACAAGGTAAGTTCCAGCCATACCGGGTCATCACCTGCAGGTTCTATGGAGATGGGTTTACTGCATCTTTAGTCTTCTTGTTGTTGTTAGAAACTCTCAAGTCGCATGAGACTCATAGCGACCCTGTTTACAACAGCTGTGAACCCTGCTCTATCCTGGGCCAATCTTATTGTCTCTGATACACTGACCCCCATTACCCCTGTGACTGAGTCACTCCATCTCATCGAGGGTGTTCCTCTCCTGAGCTGTCTTTCCACGTTCCCAAGATGTCCCTTCTCCAAGGACTGGTCCCTCCTGGCAACATGCCGAAATAATTTCTAATCAGGGACAAGTAGCGAAGACAAAGCACACTATTTCTGAGACAGTGATGGCTCTCAAAGTTCTTTCCAGACCAAAACCAGTTAAAATACATGCACTGCAAGAAGCTGCACTGCAATCCCAAAGGTGTGCGGTTCGAATCCACCAGATGCTCTGCTGAAGAAGGAGGGACAATCTCCTCCAGTACCAGTCAGATCTAATTTGATGGTGTGTGTACACACACACACACACACACACACACAATTTAAAAAAACAAAACACATACAATCCCAGTGCCCTCCCTGCAGCCTGTCCCAGGCAGTAAACCACCCAGGTTTCTACCTTCTTCCTCTCCTGCTCACACCCTCCAGGAGATAAAGGCCCTCCTCCTCTTTCCTAGGACCACTGGACTCTGGCCAGTCTTGTTACGGGTCCTCACCACACAACCTTCAGCCACACCAACTCTCAACCCCAGTGCACGCTTCTGACCCATTTTCTCTGCTCTGCAATGACTACTAAGGCCTCAGGACCTGGCTTGTTAGTAATTCCATCATCTTCCTAAAACATCCTTCTCTAACTCAAGTAAATTTATTGCCTCTTCTAAGGAATAAAAATAGATCAACTGCCAAAAACATCGTAGGGGACTGACTATTCGTGGAACGTTGAAATTCTTCATCTGGGATCATCCAATGCCACACAAAGTCACAGTG